CTTCCTGGGAGGAGGGAGAAACCCAAGTCACATCTAACAAAGTCTTCCTGGGAGGAGGGAGAAATCCAAGGCACGTCTAAAGTCCTGGGAATCAGAACAGCATCAGAAATCTCAACCACCACGTTGGAGGTGGTGGGATGGTATTATTTTCCACCTGCCATTCTGTATCCAGCCACATCTGCGTAAGGGCAGAATAAAGACATTTTAAGTTATGCAAAATCTCAAAATATTTCCAACAATATTTACCTCCCATGTTCCTTTTCTTAGGAAGTTACTAAACAATATGCCACAGCAAAAGAAAAAAAAAGGGACCTGTAACCACAGTATACTATCTGGCTCACGAGTAAACAGTCCTCATACACCTAACCTGAACAGAGATGTACCAAATAACATGACCTAATTATACTGGAAAAACAAAGGGAGGTACAGGTAAGAGCAAACTCTTCATCCATCATAATAGCAAGTCAGTAGATGTTTCTAAATTAATTCAAAAAATAAAAGAAACATAAGTATTTTATGTAGAAATGCAAAAGTAAACATTAAAAGAAATAGTTAGAGAGTGGAAAGTGTTACTTCCAGACAGCAAGACTTAGGGGGCTGAGAGTTCTCACTAAAAGCCTTATAGTATTTGTTTCTTTTTAAACTATGAACACATATTAGTTGGATAAGAATTAAAAATAAATTCTTTAAAAAACATTACAAGCCATGGGGTGGTTTGTCTTGCAGGCTTCTATATCCACCTTCTATACCCAGCTTCTTCCATATGTGCCTATACTCCAATGAGAATCCTTCTTTTGCCTTAAAAAAAAATCAGTTTACTACCAACCTGAACCAAATGACGCTAGGCATCTTGCCAGTAGATGGTTTTCAGCAATATTACACGTTGTAATAGGGGAGAGAAGCCTGCAGAGATTTTTCTGAACAAGGTCTAGACCCATAAAATGAAACAATTACCGTCTGAGTGAGCTCTTCCCTGGCTCTTTAAGCATCTAATTTAGGCGACGACTGCATGGTGTCCAGGGTTATAAAATACCACACATAACCTTTACTATCTGTACCTTTGAGCCTTCCATGATGTCAGGGAGCTCATTAATTAGCTCCTTTTCCAGGAGACACTTGGCCTTCGAGATGGAATCACTCCAAGTTCCCAGCAGCTTTCAGCTTGGAAGTCTTAGCTTCACTCGTGGAGAGAAGGCAGGCTCTAATCAGAGCGGGTTAGAGGCCAGATTGCGACTGTCATCGACTAGCATGTGCTACGTGAATTCTTTTGGCCATGCTAGAATTCTGTAAACTTGAGACCCACTGCTTGAAATGAGCAAGTCCTTGGCTTGCTAAGATGGCAACGTGATTCCTGAGGTAAGAAGAATGCTGGAAATGTCCATGACAAGCTGTTAGAGCTGTCATGGGTCCTCCAGAAGTAAGAGGGACAAGCCTGAAAGTGAATACAACTTCCTCAAGGGAAAAGTAGGAGAACAAAGCAAAGGCTGATGGTTGGCCTAAAAATTTTGGTTTTGTTTCAAGGAGGACATTTTTATCTAGTCATTTAATCTTTTTTGCAGGACATTCAGGGGCCCCATGGAAGTTTCCTAAAAGAGGTGACAGCTCTGGACTGGGCATCAGGTGGCCTGGGTGCGCTTGCAAGTCTGTTTCTGGTTGGCTGTGTGACCTTGGTCAACCTGCTCTGCCTCTCTAGGTTCAGCAGACAAGACGCTGTCTGAGGGCCCCTCCCGACCTAATAGTTGGTGATTTTATGTGTCGCCTAATACATGCTTATTGAGGGGGAGGACAATGGGAGAAGGAAGCAATACACAGAGTCACCATGACCTGCATTTTGGCAGGAAACGGAGCAGAGGGAGCCCAGGATGGAGGAAGACGGAAGGGCCGGTGGATGTCTCTCTCCTCTCACAGGCTGCCTGTTCTTGTCTACCTCTCAGGGTGCTTTCCAGAAAGCCTTTTCCAGAAACCCATTATGATGGACCACAAAGGATGCCTGTGCTTCTGAGGCAGTGGTGCACGAGGGCTTGTCTGGGCAGGAACCTGCTGGACCACTTCTAGCTGTAACATCAGCTAGAGCTGATTCCCAGCCCCACCACGTCTGCACTCCTCCTTGGGGCTTTTAAGGGGCTTTTGGCAGTGCCCTCTGGGGCCTTGGGGATCAGCACTGATGCTTCAGGAGCCATTGAAGGAAGCCAGGGGCTGTGGAGGCAAAGTGGGGAGGACCCCAGGCCCTGTCCTGTGTCAGCCGGAGCTCTGCTTTTAGTGTTGTCTAGACTGGCTCCCCTCAAGAATTCATTTGCAAGGAGGGCTCCATTGGTGGAAAAGACCTGAAAATCACAGCTCTACCTCAATTCCATCAATGCAAAAGTGAATTTAAAATGCATCCCAACCTTCCCCCCCCCCCCCAAAAATCTAGGGTGAAAAGAGTTCACTACAGCTCACAACACAGCCTTCACTTTCCTCCTCTTTCCTCCTTGGATCTGCCATTCCTGGATGTGCTTTCCTGGATCTGCCAGATTTGTGCTGCTCAGTTACCCCTCAACGAACACAGCCAATCGCCAGACCACAACAGGTGTGCAGACACCCAGCACCTTCCCTCAAATGCCGCCTCTTGGAGGAACACTCGGCAGTTTTCTTCCCAGTGGAGGCTCTGCCTGGGACATCCACCCTCTTTTCATCAGGAGGTCTCTCGAGGATCTGAGAGCTAAGTAACTCAAGTCCATTCAGGACCTTAGAAATCCGCATGTGGAACGACCTAGGACCCAGGTTATGGCTAAATATTAGGAACGACGCTTAGTATCTGACAAAGCAAGGCACGCAAGAACCCACTCCACCCAAGGATCCAGTCACGCACCTGAGTTTTGAGTACACAAAGAGAAAAGCATGCTTTGACTCACAGGAGACAAAGGAAACATGAAAGAAAAAGCAAGGAGAGGGATTCTAAGTTTCCTTGGAGGTCTGCAACTGTCTGCAGAAGTGCCCCAGCCAGAACCCCAAATAAAATGAAGAAAGAACTCCCACCCCGTCAGGGTCCCGTCTTTTTAATTGTGCAGACACGCGTGTCAGAGTCTGTTGACGTCCAGCTGTGGGAAGAGCAGCAGGCAGTAAACCAGGAGCCAGAGGAAGAGAATAAAATACATCACATCCGGCTGCTGGACCAACTGGGTCAGCGAGTCGCTCTGGGGGCCACGGCTCTCCCACGACGTGGCTTCTCCAGAGTTGTTGGCCTTCCTGCAGGAGGGAAGACACAGGCAGGGCAGTTACGAGCAGGTCCCCAGTTGAGTGGACCCCACTCCCTCCCTGTACTGCAACCTCACTGCTCGACTGGAGAGCTGAGGGCTTCCAGGGAGGCGTCCAAGAGGCCCCCCCATTGTGTGTGCAGACCCACGGCGGAGGGCCGGGGTCCAGGTGGTCCTCTGAGCTTTCACACGTATACCCAGTTCATCTCCACAACACTAAGAGAGAGGAGCTGTCAGCCCATTCTGCAGACAGGCACATTGAGACTCATGGAGTGGAGCAGCTTGCCCAAGGCCACACAATTACTTTGTGCTAGAGCTGGAACCTGGGCCAGGTCTAACTCCCAGTCCAGGACACCTTCCTTTCCCCCACAGTACTCTTAATGCAGGGTTAGATACTGACAGCTCTCTGTTGTTCATTCAGGACAGAGAGGCCTTCATAAGCCATCTAAAAGAATAGTGAGTACTTCGATTACAGATAATTTAAAAATAGCCACGAGAAACAAATAAAGACACATCCCCCCACCACCAAGTTTTGTTTTTGGCTTTGGAATATAACTTTTAAAATAATTAATAGATTTGATTTTGGTCAGATTTATTGTTCTTCTTTTATTTTACAGAAAGTAGTTAAAGTGACATTTCGTTTTTTCCTGGCAGATGAAGCCCAGAGCGGGCAGTGTGGTGGTGACCAACCACAGCTGCAGATTCGCACGAAGGAGGGTTGGGGTTGGGGGCCATCATCTGAGTGGAAGGGGCGTTGGGAGCCTCTGCTTGAAGCTGCATTTACAGAAGCCTAGGGCGTAAGCTTCTTAGGGTCATTTGGGGCGTGTGATGGAGATTATGAGAAGTGCAAACACCCCGTTTCTGAACTGTCTCTTGACACAGTGAGAGGCGAGGCCAAGAGGCAATTAACCGTTCGCCTGGGTCTAGAAACTGATCCACAGGCAGACAACGGACCACTGACCGAATTTCCTTCTCTTTCCTAAAACTGTTTCTAGAAAAAGTTGAAACTATATTTATTTTTTATCACAAAGGGAATAAATGCTCAAAAACATGGAAGAACACGACTGCATTTCTCAACCCTGCAGGCTCAATTTTCAAAGTCTCTATCTCATAAAAGCTACAAGTATTCTTTTCCTATGAGTGTGTCAAGCCTAGCGGAAAATGTGAATTAATATTTCCATTTTAGGGCAGGGAAGAGAAACAAGTCTTGCCTCTTTTTTAGGAGCCAGAGTGGAGGAGTTCTATGAATTACACTCCTGGGTGTTGGGCAATATTGAGACAGAGGCTTCCCATGCCAAGAACCTAAGTCCTTCCAAGCCAATTCTAGTCCGTAGCAAAAAAAAAAAAAAATCAATAAAATTAAGTGATTCAATAACTTTAACAGGGATGGGGCATTTCAGAATAGTCAGAATTTTAGGGATTTCTCTGGATTGCTGTTCTACATGGGCAGTTTCACAGCAATTCAGCAATCTTAGTCTAGGTCCTCTAGTTCTCCAACAGTAAGAAATACTTTCATGGACATCTTGGCATGTTTGTATTCCCTCTTCATGTCTGCTCTGATGCCATAAAACTGTAAAATCAGCTCAGTGAGCTTCTCTGTATTGTACCTGCAGTGGCGACACAGAATGAACATGCTTGTCAGGCCCCGTAGCATTTAGAACACACACAGAATTATATCCCTACTACTTCCGCCTGCCTCCACCTCGGACAGCCAGCTTACGCCGCTGCGTTACTTAAATGCAGCTGCAAGCTCATGACCCAGAACTGTCTTTCAAGTGAGTCATTTTCTGAACCATGCGCTGCCCATCAATGTTAATTAATACCCACTTTTTCCTCCCACTCATATTCAATTTACATTCATTTTCTCTGAAACAGGTCTTTTCTTGCATTATCTTGGACTCTTATTATTGTTATCAACACAGCACCGTTGGGAGAAACAGCCACCCCTATCAGGTAGTCCGCATAATGAAAACAGAAAAAAAAAATTTTAAACCCCATAAAACTCGGAGCAAAGCCACCAACCTGGTTAACATTCGGTTTCTCCTGTCATCCAGATCGGCTGAGTTCCTCAGTTGAACGTAGCTAGAATGATCCTACAGTGAAATTTATAAACAAAACCCCCGCAACCCAATTAGTAAAGATGAAATCTCTGAAACAGAAAATAAAATGATTTTAAACATACAAAGCCGGGCATGCCACGTCGTTCTCAATACTGCAAACATCTAGTTCCAAAATCAAACTGCTAAACGATACATTGTTCTACCCTTCCACCCCGCCCGCTACTGGGAGAGGCCCCACCACACACACCCCGAAGCCCGGCTGTGGACCACGGTGCTCCGGGTCCCAACACATCTAGGGTTAAGTAGTTGCGAATGTAAAGCAGACCCTCTACTTATGCTGCACCTCTGTCTTTGAATGTGACCTTTCTGGGTGTGTGTGCAGGGAAGGGGTGATCTTGGATGATCTTGGATGCGTTCCTTTTTTTTTTTTTGAGGAAGATTAGCCCTGGGCTAACATCCATGCCCATCTTCCTCTACTTTATATGTGGGATGCCGCCACAGCACAGCTTGATCAGCAGTGCGTAGGTCCGTGCCGGGGATCTGAACCCACGAACCCTGGGCCGCTGAAGTGGAGCGCGCCAACTTAACTGCTACGCCACCGAGCCGGCCCCTTGGATGCATTTTTATAACAAAGAGGCCTTTGGGCTTTAAAATCATCACTTTATTTACATCTCCTATTGCCCGAACTGAGCAGCCGACTGGACTGTGCTTAACAACAAGGTTTCAATGTGCTTGTCTTCTATCCAAAAGCATTAGCTGTTGCACGGCAGTAATTTCAAAGCTCTGGGCCGGGGAGGAGGAAGGATGGAAAGGAATTGATTAGCGGGGGTGGATGGAAGAAGAAGAAATTCACATACTAACCGATTCCAAAGACCTATTATTATGTTGTCGAATGTAAATGCTGGAGTCACTGTGACTGGTCCTGAAAAATAAACACACGTTTTGAATTGGTGCCACCAAGAGCTCCCCATGGCTCCGCTGTACTGTCACCCCCATCCCGAGTCTTCCACATGTGGATTTAGGCAAGCTATGATTTCAGACCCAGCAACGGAGAGACATTTTATTCAATATGCCCACTTGGGTTGGAGTGTAGGGTGGGTATTAGACAGACATACCGTACCCTTGTCTATAAGGAAAAAACTGAGAAAGAATTTTAAATAGAAAGCAGACCACATATTCTTAAAAATCATAGAGTTTCGAGGCAGGAAGGGATTTCTTTTTCCAAGCATCTCCAGGTCCTGGGACTCGCCCAAGGTCCTCTGCAAGCTAAAGGCAGATCCAGGCCGAGAGCTGGTGCCTGGACCAGGGCTCTGGTACCCTTTCCAGTGCTCCTTCCACGTACAGTGCTGCTCTCTGCCTGTGCAGCTCTCGGGCGCACCACCTGTTTTCCTTTCATACTCGAGGAGGCTAATTTTCTGGCCCTACCTTTGAGGCAGATGTGAATGTATCTCTGACCTTCTAATAAAGCTGGCCCACCTAGGGCTGAGGCAAAAGGTATCTAGCCAGAGGCCTGGGCTGATATCCTGGCTCTTGGTCGATCAATTGGCAAACTTAGCCAAGAACTTAGTCTCTGATGAGTTTTACTCGTCTGTAAAATGGATCATCACTCCCACACCACCTGCTTCACGGAGCTGGTCGTGCTGGTGGGGAGAACAGTGTACCGCAGGTGGACATGGCCCTGTTTTGCTACTCAGCAGGAGAACTAGGCATTGGGTGTCGATGTACCCTGGTACAGAGATAGTCATCTCGGCTTCCTCAAGGGAAACCTACCATGTGGCATCCTGGGGTCCAGAAAAAAGGCATTTGACCCAAGAGTTTATTCCCGGGGAATTCATCACTGGCAGCCTTGCTGTTCCTGCCCACTGCTGTCCTGAAAACCTTACCAAGCTCCTCCCTTGCACTGGGCATGTTCCCAGCTAATAGGTACTGGGTACCTACTATGTGCCAGGGGCTGGGCTAGGCCTAGGGAACTTCAGTCCTCGTCCTCCATCCAAAGCCTGTGCTAGTTTTTCCTGGCCATATCACAGCACAGAAATGAAACAAAATGCACCTACAAATAAAAAAGACTCTTGGTGCCTGGAACCCAGCAGTGTCCCGTGAGAACTGCCTCCACACTCTGGAGCACCTGGAGATGCACAGGCCCTCTCTTCCCCGCGTGTTGGTAATGTTTTCTAGCAAAAAAGCACATCCCCATCAAGAGGGGACTCTCGCTCTTCCCCCTCCCCTTTTTTTCCAGCATGCTGGCTTTTAGGTGGTTTTTCTGTTTTGGTATAATCAATGTGAGACTTATTCAGTTTGAACCCTGAACTTCACTCTTTCAGCAAGCGTTATCAAGAGTCTACTGTGAGCCAGGTGCCGGGGACCTGGCTCCTCCGGGAGCTGACTGCAGACTGAGAGCACACTCATTCATTCATTCATTCACCCAAAGAATGTGTGTTGAGTGCCAACTGCAAGCCAGGTGCTATGCTAATTGCTGGGCTATGCTAGTGGGCCCTCCCCGCCTCCAGGAAGCTGGCTCACTGTCTAGGGGAGAGCAGATGATAAAAACATCCTTACAAAAATGATTATAGAAATTACTTTTTGATAAATGCTGTGAAGAAAAGAGTAGAGGCTATGAGAACATATAAAAAGGGAACAAAAACAGCCTGGAGGGATCCAAGAAGGCTGCTTGGAGGAAGTTGTAGTGGTGGCTGAGACCCAAGGGAGCAAGGCAGGAGACAAGCTGGGGACACAGTGGCTTCAAAGGCAAAAGAGCTTGGGGGGGCATTCAAGGATCTCAGCTAAGGCCGGGGGCCAGGCGCAGTGAGGATGAGGGGAGAGGGTGACTGAGGGTGACTGAGAGTGGAGGGAGATGAGGCTGGGGAGACAGAGATCTTGCAGGTTCTGGAACAACGGGCCTTTCTGCCTAGAGCAGTGGGAAGCCACAGGGTGACCGAGTTGAGGTACAGCCAGGAAAACATCCTGTGCCTGGAAGAGAGATGCCCAGGGCTCTGTCCCATTCAATGGTGTTGCGCCAGGTATTGTAAAGGGGGTGGTAGCACCTCCCACACTGCAGCCAGCAGGTGCGACAGCCTGGGCACAGGAGGGGCCCCAGGGGTGCTCGTTCGTTCATTCACAGGAACGAGCACCGCTCCAGGCCACCTTCCTACATTTGCTATGCAGCTTGCACCTCGGGCTGAACTGGGGTGAGAGGGGAAGGGGGAGCTGGGAGGGAGCTGCTGCCTGCTTCACGCAGACTGTCCACAGACATCAGAGCCAAACCCCTGCACTGGAAGGTCACCCAGGCCTCATGCCCACACACACCGAAATAACGGGTGACTTTTCCATATTGTCCCCCTTCGTCTCATCTTCCCAGGACAGGTTTTGCTGGTCCTTCTCGATGCTGCACGTATCCAAGATGCTCGCTTTCCCCCACCGCTCTCCTGGATTCTCCTCCCACCTCCTTGCATCCCACAAATATTGACTGCGGGGCCTGCTGCGTGCCAGCTGTCTGCTCAGGCTGTTTCTACCACCTGGAAGTGGAAGAAGGGCCTCCTCTCTCCTCCCAAATCCAAGTCCCACTTAGCCCTCAATGCTAGACTCATGACGTCTCAGCGCCTGGGCTGCCCTGACCCTCTCGACCTGCCTCTGAGGCCCAAAACGTGAAATCGCTATCCCCTGTTAACACCTAAGGTGCCCTGCCAGTGCCAGTGGAATAGGTGAGCACATCCTATCTCCCTCTAGACCGTGAGCCCCTGGAGGATGGAGCTGTGCCTGAATCACCACTGTGGCTAACCTCCTCTGAAGTCCCCAAGTCTAGCAGACTCGGTCTCATAGTGGCTGCTCAAAGATGACTGAGAACTGACCTGCTGAGGGAGAAGACGAGCGGTCTGGCAATGACCAACGGCCCTCCCTGAGTTGTGGTGTAGGTGCCAGCCCTGCGCCTTTTGCCCATAAGTGTTTGTCTGCACTTAGAGCAGGGGCCAGCTGAACACCAAGACTTAGATGTCTATTGGACAGTCACGTCCAGGGGCAGGGAGAGGGATCCTGGGAGTCACGGGCAAAGTCGGCAGCAGCCTTCCATTGTGCCTGGCCCCTCCTCCTCGGGGTCCCATCTGCTCTCCCTTTGTCCCCCACAGCCCAGGCAGGGAAGCAGAGCAGAGGGGACATGGAAGTCTGGGTATCTGCCAGCTCCTCCTCTGGCTCTCCCCGTCTGGGCCTCTCCTCGTTCATTCCCCAAATGCATATCCAAATAATTTCCCTTTGCAGCTGGTAGGACTCACCCACCACAGGCAATGAGGGGTCATGGAAAGAATGTGGACTGTGGATCTGACAGTTCTGAGTCCAAGACCCCAGCTCTGCCACCTCCTAACCTGAGAGGTGCCCCCTGAGCTGCCCTGGCTGTATAATGATGCACATTCCCACCCGCCTGCCTAAGGGGGTGCCCATGAGAATTGATGAGGAAATGTATGGAAAATGCCTGAACACATAAGGGCGTGGTAGACGGTGACTGCTGGGATGACGTGGCATAACGAGGAGAGCCCAGGGTCTCCTGACATTCAGTTAAATATTGTCCCTGGGACCAATCTGGCTCACCGGGGGCCTTGGAGTGACAGAGCAGATGTGTGCTCCAAGCTTCCTGTAGCTCAGTCAAAGCTCATTGTCCTCCCTGCTTCCTCCTCCCCTGAGATAATTCACCCACCCTTACTTCCTGGGAACCAAACTCTTGGGCGAAGCTGTAATATTAACATCCGGCTTCCATGTGACAACGATGAAGGGTCCCCTCAGCGCATATGCTGAAGTCAGGAAGATGCTGACTTTATAAACGGCTAAGTTAGGTCTCTACTGAGCCCAGCCAGCAGGTATCTGGGGAGGGGGTGGCCGGGAGAGTCTCAAGGTCTCTTACTTCACACCCCACACCCGCCTAGGGTTCGGCCATTCCAGGGCACCCTGATAGTTTCACCCAAAGGTACTCAGAGTGAGGAGAGAAGGCGAGCTTCATGTCCTTCCATTTTTGCTAGTTATGAGCAGGTCTGGTAACAGTGAGGCCAGGTGGGGGGACCCAGGTGTGACGAGGAGGACTTTGTATGAATCTGATTTCCCTCGTCGTCCAGTCCCACCCCTGTGCCCCCATAAATCAGAAACTGAAAATGCAATGAGTTCAGAGTAGCTCTCCTGCTTGGCCTACAGGGTGAGAAGATATTAGTACCTGGAAAGGACTTTGTGGTCGCCAGTGTCTTCTTCTAGGTCATCTGAGGATCGAACAGTTCCAGGTGCTACAAATATCGAACTTTCTACGTGGTCCACATGTTTCCTTTTTTCCTTTTTTTTACTGCTGATTGATTCTTCCATTACCTTTGCTTCTAAAGGGTTTGCTATGTTTTCCGAGTTTGGGGATTCCTGGGACTTAAGGACAGAAAAACCAAACACAAGTCAGCCTTTTGTGCCGAGATGTCGAGCGAGTGACCCACCCAGCTGGGCTCCACTCCACCTTGATTCCAAGGCCCAGCGAGGGCGTCCCTTCCAATTCTGCCTCTCCTGTGACTCCTTCCAGCACAGCCTGCCTTGGAAGAGAATCCACCCAACCTCCTGCTCCCTGTGCAGAGTTCAAATGCTCCAGACGGATGGAGTGAAAACAGCATGGGTTTTAGTCAGTAAGACCTGGTTTCAAATCCTGGCTAAGACAGCTGTCTGATCTTGAGCAACTGACTTTATCTCTCTGACCCTCAGTTTCCTTGTCTGTCAAATGGGTATAATAATTATCAACCTCTTCCCACCATACCATAGTGTTTCCTATAAAGGATGTCTCTTACAGTGGGCAATGGTTGGACCCTTCACACTACCATCGTCCACTTAAACAGAGGAGCAAATCTGGAAGCCAGGTGGGTCAAGGGGTGCAAAGGTAGCCCCGAGTTTGGAGAGGTACAGACACAGGCAAACGTATAGCTCGTGGGGTGACATCTTCACTGTGCCTTTGGCTGAAGGTGGATCGTAGAGCAACATCTCTAGCATTTCTTTGATAAGGAAGATTCTTTGACCACTGTCCACACCAGGCACTCTGAAACCCATCAGCAATGCTCCTGAGGGAAGTCAAGCAGCGTGGGAACTGTTGGGGCCCCTCTGGAGAATTCCTTCAGGGGCTGGAAGAACCTGCTCAACAGGTGTCAGAGTAAGAGGATCGGAGTCCCCAGGCCCGTGTATCCCCGGAGAACAAAGCTCCGGACAGACATTAGAAACGCTCTCAGCACCTTGAAACGCTAGCCCTCCTCCATCATCAATGGGCAAATGCTGCCCTTTCTGAAAGGTAAAATGAGGAGAGGGCGTTTTTTTAAAGACCAGAAGAAGGAAAACCTGCCAATTTCTAGTTCTTTTAGAAGATCTTTTTTCTTTCTTTTAAAGGAGGGCCAGGTATCAGAGAGATGCTCCATCTTGTGTTGTCTTGTCTGCCAGGAAGCAAGACTCCCAGACCTCACCTGTCATCCCAGGCTGTACCCCACCCCTGCTCACCCACAGGGATCAAGGCCAGGGCTATGCTTGGGAGCCAACTGCAAGGTGGGCTGGGGAGGAGTGGGCGCCTGTGTGCTGGACAGGTGAGAGCCAGAGAAGCAGATCGGAGCCCCGAGATGCAGGTGGCGCCAGGATCGCTCCCGCACTGTGCCCAAGGGATGCAACCTCTCCCCCCCAACTCAGCGTGAGATGGATCCAAATCTAGGTCTCCGGATTCCATCCCTAGCCCAGGGCCCTTTCAACCCTACCCAAAATCACCCGCCCACATGCTGGGCACAGGCAGGTGCACAAACTGGAAGGAAAGCAGAAGAGGATGAAATGCTATGCCTGCCGCAGGAGAGGGACCGAGCCCCTAACTAGCCGTTTTCAGTAACACAGAGGGGCAGAGGTGCAACTCAGGCTTTCTTCCTGCCACCCACACTGTTCCCTTTTTTTTGTCCTAAAAGGGCTTTTTGGCCCATAACAATCCAGAGAATCGTCCTGTTACTGTCACGGTCCCCCAACCTGGGGACCCCAAGACCTGATCTCACTGAAGGACATTTCTAACCCCGTTGGATCTTGAGGTCTCCCTCAGGAAGAGCCTGCTGGGGCAGGGCTGGCTTCTGACAAGTTAGCAGACAGCAGGTGGGAGGGGGTGCGGGACCAGCACTGGGATCCTCTCCCCGGGGCAAGAAGGGGAAGACCGCAGGCCGGTCCACGGCACCTGAGGAACCACCGAGGCCTCTTCTCTGTCCAAAGACAGACATAGTGTGGATGCCTCTGCCCCAAAGGGTCAACTGGTCCTGCCATGCTTGCAGTCTAGGCCATCACGGCCCCAGAATTCTGCTCCTCCCAGTGCTCCCAGCAGCTCTTCCCCATTGTCTGGAGTTGGCAAACCGATAAAACCAAGCTAGCCCTTCTGGCCTACCCAAATCCTGGATGTCTTTAATGGCTACTGATTCCCCTTTCTCCTGGAGCCCTCCCAGGCTGCAAGGCCTTCTCATTCGTCTGAGCACCGGTGGGCCCCTCACTCCACCTGAATCTCCACTGCGTGACCCGGAGCACCATCATTTATCTCCGAGTTTAATTTACCCTACGTTCGCCTTGCCCCCAAACCGCCATGCGATATACCTTTGTTTCCTGCATTGCAGGCCCTGTCAGGCTGGTCTCTATAGCCCAAAGATTAATACACAAATGCTCACTCTCTGGGAGAGAGGATCACAACCTGGGAGAGAGGATCACAACCCACGAAAGCAGCTGGAGAACTGTCGGAAGTGTTCCGGCTAGAGCTGAGAGAGCAACTCTTCTGCCTGGGGGGGAGCTGTGAAGGCTCCCGGGAGGAGGTGATATTTGCATTGGGCTTTGAAGGTGAATAAGCGATTGCCAAGTGAAGGGCGTCTAGATCAAGCAAAGCCGGGAGGCAGAGGAGAGCTGGAGTGTCTGGGAGCCAGGGAGGAAGCTGGCTTGGCTGGAGGGGACCAAGAGAAGGGGACCAGAGGGGTGGGTGGCCAGGTTGGAGAAGGAAGAGTCTCGAAGGTCATGCTTAGGAATTTGGACTTTATCCTGGAGACAGAAGTAGGGGAGCAATGGGATGGGATTTGTGTTTTGGGATCTACTGCAAGCGGTGGAGGGGCTGAACTGGGGAGTAGAGCTGGGAAAGAGTGGGGAAGACACGATGGGATGGTGTTAAAAGCCATTTCAGAGGAGGTCAAAGTGATCTGGGATAGCTGATGTCCTCAGCACAGGCCCCACTTCCCCACCTTGGTTCCCATGCTGCACCCTCCACCCAGAACTGCCTCCCCAGCTCCAGAGGCCCCCACACATGCAGCCTTTCTGGATCTGGGTGAATCTCCCTCTGTTGAACCCCTGAGTCCCTTTGCTGGGCCCCATCTCTTATGTCTGATGCCACATTCCCTCACAGCACAGTTACTCGGGATGTGGTCTCCCCAGCATCAAACACCCAAGGCAGGATCTCCTTTGCCTTGGTTCTTCTGCCAGTGAAGAAGAGGCACACTGCCTTCTGCAGGGGTGGACCGAGTAGGCAGGTGAGCTCCCCTGGGGTCCTTTCTCCTCCCAGCTGTCTCACTCTGGGGCCCTGTCTGCACTGTACCCAGCAGAGGCCCAAGCAGTGTGGTTTTGGATCCACTCCCACATTCCCAGCACTGCGGTGGGGAGCTCTTATTAACAGGAGGACTCCTGCAGGAGGACCCTCCCACTGCGCCCCCACGGGATCAGGCCAGGGCCCCTGCACCTCTCACTGCTCACTCCGGGGGTCCCTCTTGAGCTGCTGGGCCAGATAAAACGGGAACATCAAGTGGCAGATAAGTGTGTGCCCAGCTCCTTGAGTTCAGAAGTGCGTGCCCTGCCTTGCCCTGTGTACACAACCCACTCAAACCACAGGAGCCAAATAACAGTGCTGAATACACAAAAGGCCTTTAAAAATCAAGGCCGGGGGCCGGCCCTGTGGCTTAGCGGTTAAGTGGGCGCATTCCACTACTGGTGGCCCAGGTTCGGATCCCGGGCGCGCACCGACGCACCGCTTCTCTGGCCATGCTGAGGCCACGTCCCACATACAGCAACTAGAAGGATGTGCAACTATGACATACAACTATCTACTGGGGCTTTGGTGGGGAAAAAAAAAACGAGGAGGATTGGCAATGGATGTTAGCTCAGAGCCGGTCTTCCTCAGCAAAAAGAGGAGGATTAGCATGGATGTTAGCATAGGGCTGATCTTCCTCACAAAAAAAAAGGAAAATCAAGGCTGGAGTCAAGGGTGAGGTCTCGCGGGCTGCGGCAGGAGGCGGGGCTCCAAGTCTCTAGGAGCACGCCAGGTGTAGCTATGATTACTCTTTAAAATTATTTCTGCTGCTACCATGCTGGAGCCTCAACCACGACCTCATTTGATCCTCCTGGCGGCACTGTGGGCAGGGCCAGGACCCGGAGGAGGCCAGGGAGGCACCCAGGGTGCAAAATTCAAGGCGCGCTCATTCTCAGGTGCCAGCCCTGCCCAGGCCCGGGCCCCAGTGCGCGCCTCTTAAATTTTGGCCCCGGACGCTTGTGAGGGAAGCTGCTGTTTCCCTACGTCACGGAGGAAGAGGTCGAGCCTCAGAGAAGCGCAGAATGCCCGGCAGGACCCAGGGTTCCCGAACCCGCACTCAAGTACCTGATGGCTCCCCACGGGGGCACTCTCTTCAGCCTCCCTTTGCTGGTGGTCCTCTTGGCGGGGTGGGGGAGCGGGTTCCGAGGCTGGTTTGGCACCGTCCGCCCCGCTGTCAAGAGACGGCGCCTGGACGCCGGCCCTGGGGGGCTCCTCGCCCGGCCCGGAGAAGCTGCAGCTGCTCTGAGAGGCCTCGGCCTCCTCCTCCCTGGACCCCAGGTCGTACAGGTAGCCCTCTGGTTCTTCGAGGTCCATCTCGTCGTTTTTCAAATCCTCCGAGCCTTCCGCGTAAGCCTCCAAAACTGCGGCCAGGGGCACCTCGTAATGCGGGTAGTAGAACAGATCGTGAGGAATGACGGAGATCTTGGAGAGGGGCGGCGAGGGTCTGAAGTCCAGGCCTTCTTCGCTGTGACTGCCAAGGGTCTCCAAGCTGACACTGCTGTTCGGCGGGTTGCAAGGCAGTTCTCTGCCAAGCTGCGGGCCCTCGGCGCCCCACTCATCCTCGCCGTGAAGGCGATGGGGGGACTTCTGCTTCGCCTTCTCATATCCTTCTGGCTTTTTATCCACTAGTGCCTCCTCTGGGGCCAAAGAATAGCCTTCATCTTCTCGCTCAGGGTGCTTGTGCGGTTCCTGCTTGTCAGCCTTCACCGGGGGCTCATCCGAATCTTTCCTTTTGTGGGCAGATTTAGCTCTCCTTTTGCCCAATTTCTCAGCATGATCCTCCAAAACCTCATCCTTGGCAGGTTTTTTCTCCCGGGGCAAAGGAACCTCATTGAAAGCCCGGCTGGTGGAGGCAAAATCTACTAGGTCGCTGTTAAATTTAGAGGCTTTTAATGGGATGCCTTCGAAATAGTCTTCTTCATCCATAGGTTCTACAGTCAGCAGCTTAACCTTGATCTCCAGGGATTCGGCCATAACGGTATTCTCTCCCAGGGGTGAAAGGGGACGACCTTCTTCCTCCTGGCTGGCTGCACTCTCCAACGCCCCATTCCAGGAGGGGGGACGCTGGGAAGCCTCAGAATGACTGGTCTTACCATCCGCCAAGGAAATGTCATCTGGGGCCTCATCAGAGGCTGCTTCCGGGATCTTTGGGGCTTCCTGTTGCGTCTTTTCCTCGGCAACCTCAACCACCAAGATGTGTGCATCCTGCTTGCACAAGTCCTCTGTCCCCCTTGGGCTCCCTTCAAGGAGGTCTTGACTGCAGGGTGGGCCCTTACTGCCGGAAGCATCCTTGTAGGCGTCAGCCTCAAAGTGCACGGTTTTCTTCATTGGCAGAGAGTTGGACCTCTGGTTGTCCTTTCTGGATGATAAAATGGAAGATTCTGGAGATGGCTCACTGATGCTGCCGGTCTTACCTGTGACCCCTTGGAGGACCTGGTCGGTGATCTGGTGCATGAACTCAGAAGAGCTGTCTGACAGCGCACGGTTGGAAACGCCACCCGGGTAGCATTCCTTCACGCTCTCGGGCTTGTCACAGACAAAGACTTTGGAGGGTGGTGGGTGGCTGGTTTCATGGTTAACCATGTAGGCACGTTCCCCATTTTCAGTCAGAAGGAGGACTGTGCTCTCCTGTTCAGAAGGGGTTTCTTTGATGCGGACAAAGGTGGATTCAATAGGGGCTTCTTTATCTGAATCCACAAAGTCCTCCTGCAAAGAAACACAGGGCAACGTGAAATGAGAAGAGTGTTTAAGTATAAAGTATACTCCCCTCTCAACAAACAAAAACCAAAGTGGAAAAAACCACTTCAGAACTAACGCGAAGTATCCCGATTAAGATGTAGATGGTTGCAAAAGACTACTGTTCCTGCTGAAATGTGAAAACACCAGATACGTTCAACATAATGTGTTTTTTTAAAGCTACGGATGCAAAGAAATCTCAATGACCTGAACTCTAGAGAAGGATGAGCCCTCCCTAAGTGAGCAGAGACAGTCAGCTCCTTCATACCTGTGGGCCATTGCCTAGTCTGGGTAGGACAGGAGAGGTAACCCACCGAAGATAAAGAAAGATCAGCCAAATCTTTATTGATTGTGTAGGCCAGTATGAGAGACAGAATCTGCAAGGGCCCCAAATGCAAAACCAATTCTCCTCTTATGCTAATTCTCCCACACAGGGACTTTGGCTGAGTATGAAGCAGCTGAGAGCAGGGCTGAGGAGCAGAGGGCCATCTTGGTGGGACGGCAGTGCCTGGCTCCCGAGGCACTGGTGGAGAGAGTGGACTGACCTCATACTGACATCATTTGAAACCAGAGGGCTAAAATTAAATAAAACGGCAAGGCAGCTCCTTGATGAGCTGCTTATCACAGGTCCTTATTTGGGATAGGGCTATATTCTCTGGGGGGGAAAATGTCATCTACCTCAATCTCCACTGTTCTTTTATACATCAGGTCTGGCAGAAAATAAAAAATTTTAAGACACAAAGAAACAGGAGAATGAGACCCATAATCAAGAGAAACCATAGTCATTAGACATAGACCCAAATGTGGCCCAGGGTTAGAACTAGCAAAGACTCTAAAATAACTACTTAATCTACACTACCAGCAATACAAAGGTTGTTCTTCAGGCTAAAGGGAAATGATCACAGATGGACGCCTGGATCTGAAGGAGGGAATGAAAAGTACCTGAAATGGTAAATATATGGTCAATAATAAAAGACTATTTAAAAAGTTTTCTTAAAAAGTCTTCTGTTTAAAGTAACAATAATAACAAAGCACTGGGGACTAAAACGTATGTAGAAGTAACATAAATGACAGTAACAGCACAAAGGAATGGAGAGGAAGTGAGTGGAATTGTTGTACATATAAAAATATATAAAATATGCGTTTCACTTAAAGTGGTATAATAGTAATTCAAGGTAGACAGAGCCATGTTCAAGATCAGTATTATAATCTCTAGAATAACTCCTAAAAAGATAAAATGAGGAGATGTGGCTAAAAAGCCAATAGAGAAGATTAAATGGAACCAGAAAATAATAGAATAATCCAAAAAGAAGAAGGAAGGAAGGACAAAAGAACATAGAACAGATAGGATCAATGGAAAATAATAATCAAGATGGTAGATTAAATCTATGTAAATGGACAAAAAACACACTAATAACATGACATGCTAATTTTGTCAGAATGGATAAAAAACATGACCCAACTGTACAGTGTTTACGAGAGAGATGTAAGCACATCTACTCTGAAAGGAACAAGATGGAACAAGATGCATCATGCTAACACTAATCATAGGAAAGCTGGTATGGCTATCTTCCTATCAGACAAAGTACACTTCAAGACAAAGAGAAATTGCATGCAAATAAAGCAATCAAGTCAGTCATCAGGAAGATACAACAATCCTAAATGCGTGTGTGTATACAGCACAGCTTCAACGTACATAAAGCAACACCCGACAGAACTAAGAAGAGAAATAAATCCACGGTCATAGTTGGAGATTTTTAACATATCTCTCTTGCACTAATTGATAGGAAAAGCAGGAAAAAAAACCCAGTATGTTTACAGAATATTAGAATGGCATATTAACCAACGCCACTTAATTAAAGAATGTCGATTCTTGCACTGCATAAGATACATTCTTTTCCAGTGCATATGGTCCATTTACACATATAAACCACATGTCAGGCCATAAAGCTGGGCACAGAGTCTGGTACGTGCCAGGGCCTGCTGAATGTTGACTGAAATGAACTGAACTCAGTGGAACTGTTAAGGAATAGCTCAGTGGGTGTCCAGATCAGCTGCGACCTCTCGTCTGTACCCCCTGCGGCTGTAAAGGGACCGTCCTACAGTGATGCACTGTGGTCTGTGCATCAGGATGCCTGTCTCCAGATACCACATCTTGTTCAACCTCTGTTTCTCCAGCCCCAGTCTCTGACCCCAGCCCTGGGGACAGCCAAGTGTCAGATTTGCTGAATCCTGGCTGTGACCTTTGACTCACACAAATACCATTAAGTTTTAGTTGATTCCAACTCTGCCTACTGCTTAAGAGCTTAGGGCTAACAAAAGCCCCGGTGCCTGGTGTTTCAGTATTTAGTAACGTGCTAGGAAAATTGAATTACAAAATAATAACCACCACCACCATTTGCCGAGCAGCAACTGTTGTCCAGGCACAGGACTTGGTACTTGAAATATCTATTTATTCTTTACTCAACTCTGAAATGTGGGTAATATTTCCGTTTTACACATGACATCTCATAGAGACATGCATCAGAGAGGTTAAGGAAGCAGCTCAAGGTCACACAGCTTCAAGACGTAGATCTGACATTCCAGCCCATGGACTTCCCGCTTCTAAAGCATGCTGGGAAGTGCTCTGTGGTGCAGGGACAGAGGGGAAACACACACACAGGTAGGGACAGGAATGAAAGCCACAGCACAGGAGGACCCCATCTGGCTCTTCTGAGTTGTACAAAATGGGGTCTCAGTCTCAGCCTTATGTTGTAAGGGATCTAAGACCCTGAACTTTGGAACCACAGAGATCTGGGGTCACACCCCAGCTCTGTCCTTGGTAGCTGTGATCCTGGAGAGGCCTTTACGCCTCTTTTAGCGCCCTTATTCTCATCTATAAAATGAGGATAATGACACTGAACCATGTGGGGCTGGTGGGGTGGCAGGCAGCCCAGAGACACACAGGACAGTGGCCTCACCAGCCTCCAGCTAAAAGAGCAGCCCCGTTCCCCCTGCGACCTTAGCTCCTTATGCTCAGTTTTTTTCTGTTTAGTACTTACAACTACCTGAAATGATCATGTGTTTGCTGACTTATTAACTGTGTGCTGTATTAGAACCAAGCTACACCAGGTCACGGACCTCATCCGTCTAGTTTATTGCTGAGCACCCCTGGCCCAGCAGTAGCTGTTCAGTCAATTACCACTGAATTCAATAGAGGGCTGTTGTTGTTGTCATTATTATCATCATCTCAGGGTTGTGCATGGGTTGGGTGCAGATTCAGTGGAGCCATGACAACTTCTAAAAGGCCCGATTCTGCTCCAAAAATAAAATCTGTCCCCACCTACAATCTGGGATTCTGAAAATAAAAAGGCATGCTTTTGAACAGTTGTTGTCTTTTATCATTTTTCACACTCTGATACAATCTGGTAGACCGCTAAAATGTTCCACCCAACATCTAAAAAATCAAGTAGCCGATCCCTATGACAAGTGAGCATCTTTTTTAATCTTAATAAAGTGTGGTGTGGGAGGAGGTTTGCAACAGGTGTGGCTGTCTAACTTCTCATCCTTTATTTTTTTTTTTGTGAGGAAGATCAACCCTGATCTAACATCCATGCCAATCGTCCTCTTTTTGCTGAGGAAGACTGGCCCTGGGCTAACATCCATGCCCATCTTCCTCCACTTTAAATGGGAAGCCGCCACAGCATGGCTTGACAAGCAGTGGGTCAGTGCACGCCCGGGATCCGAACCCCGGGCCGCCATAGCGGAGCGCGCACACTTAACCGCTACGCTACCAGGTTGGCCCCTTCTCATCCTTTTTTTTTTTTTAAATGTGATACATGTTATATATGATTTTGAAATTAAAATGTGGCAACACTCAAGAGACTTGAGATCAGGTTTTGATTATTACTGCTCATCACACAGAACAGCACCAGCTTTGTCTGATGGCCAGCTGATGGAAATGTACAGTTTCTGAATTAAAGGTAAGAAAAACAAACGTACGGCTTCCAACTCCGGGAAATGTTCTAGAAATTGTGCCACGTAAGTCACGATAGACTGCTCATCTGGTGTGTCAACCATGATGTCTGTTAAGAGAGACACAGGAGTTAGAGGGATATACAAACACGCCATTTTTAAATAGGATCAAGGGATGCTTGAGGGTGAAGAATCCCACAGGCCACTGAGGTTTTTTCTCTTTATTTTACACTCGAGGAAATTGAGGCCCAGAGAGAGTGAATCATTTGACTGAAGTTGCACAGCTGCTGATGAAGAGAGGGAGCCGGAATGCAGAATCCAAGACTCCTTATTCCTAAGATCATCCATTACTCCCCGCTGTCTCAGTCCCTCCACTGTGAGCAGCCAGCTCGCTGCCGGCTCCATCAGCGAGTCTGGTGACCCAGGACCCTTACTCATTGCTGGAGTCCCAAATTAGCCTAACTCCCGTGGAAAGCAATTCGACAGAGGTAGCCAGGCGCCTTCAAAAGGTGTGTACTTTCCAACTCTGTCATTCCTCTGATGGGACCTGGTCCTGAAGGAAATAATCTGAGATGCACACTCAGCTTCATTCTATAAGATGTTCACTGCAGCATTATATACAAACCCAACTATTTCTGAAACAACCTCAACATCCACCAGTGGCAGAAGAGCAAAGGAAATTTTGGTACATCCACCAGATGGACCATTATGCAGCCAATAAAAACATATAATGAAGACATTAGGGCAACATGCAAAATACTTATGTCATAATTATAATGTTAAGTAAAAAAAAGTAAGATCCAAACTATATATATACTGAACGATCCCAATTATGTAAAAAGATTGTAATAAGATGCACAGAAAAATACTGGGAAAATGATCTCAGTGGTAGGAATACAGAAGATATAAAAATGTCTTCATTAGATTTTTCTGTATTTTCCAAATTTTCTACATGGACAGCATGTGTTACACATGTAATAAAAATTGTTAAAAAGGAAGAAAGAGAGAGAGAAAACCACTGCTACCTTCTGGCTCCAGGAGCCTGGGGATATGCAGGGCGTCGTGTGCGATGCGGAAAGCCTTCTCCAGATTTTCCCTCATGGAGTCTTCCAGGGCCTGCTTCATGTCCACCAGGCTGGGGTCAATGGCCTTGATCACAGCCAGGAAAGCCAGCCCACTTCTCCAGCTGCCCGCAAAGTCCTGCACGGCCACGCCATACCTGAAGAAAAGCAGGTTAGCAAACGGACTTCAGGATAAGGGGGCCAGTCTCGCTGGCCTCGGAGAGGGGCCAGGAGCCGCTGACCTTGCAAGGCAAAGACGCCCGGGCCCTGAGCCCCGGCAGAGCTGTAGCGAACCGTTCATATTTCTGCTTCCGGAGAAACTGAATAAGAGTTGCACAAAGAAGCAGAATAGGACCTGTGTTCCCCAATTCCCAGATATATACAGGAGCAATTTTATACACTGTTCATTTTATCACTGATACTCAAAACGCAGCAAGCAAGGATGTGCTGTGCAATAAAAATGGAGCCAGAAAGAGCCAAGTTCACACCCCAGCTGCCCCTCTGCGCTTCTGGTGCTGTGGCTTTGGGCGATTTATGGACTCTCTAATTCTTGTTTATAAAATAGGGATCATCTCACTGCGACCTCTCGGCCGCTGCTGCAGGGAAGTATTAGGTTGAATCCACAAGAACGGCCGTGACACGTGGACAATCTAATGTGCAATGTAGGTGACACACGGAAGCCACCCTAGACACACTTAGCTAGCCACACTAGCTAAGTGACAGCTAGTGTCATTATTAATATAAGTAAAATTAAAAATTTAAAAGTGAAGGGCAAAGATAGATAATCCTGCCAGGCACTAATTTCCTTTAGAATCCATCCCCTGAGACTCCACCAATCTCCCAACTTTCTTAAAAAAATAACCAAACATCTTTTTATTTAGAAATCATTTAAGATTCATAAGAAGCTGCAAGAGCAGTCCAGAGGGGCCCTCGACACCCTTCACCCAGCTTCCCTCAACGACAGCATCTTACATCACCAAAGGGTGTCATCAAGACCAGGGCACTAACTTTGGTACAAGACTGTGACTTAAGCCACAGACCTTACTCGGATTCGCCAGTTTCATAATTGGGGGGGGTGTATGTACCACGACATTTCATCGCAAGAACAGACTCCTGGAACCACTGCCATAACGGAGATACAGAGGTGCTCCATCCCCCCAAGACACTTCCTCTCCTTCAGTCACCCCACCTCCTGGCAGTGAGCTCTCTCTGGGTTGATTTACTTGTCAACAACATTTAACGGTTGTTCACATTAACCAACTCTAGCACGCTTGACCCCTCAATCAAAACTCCAAGGATCGACCCTCTATTCTACCTGTTTTCTTCTCCCATCTTTTATTTCCATACACCAGGGAGAAGGGATGCGATGTTTAAGTGCTTATTCAGTGCTGGTACTGCAAGGAGCTTTCACAGAGTTTATTTCATTTAATCCTAAGGATCCCGTAAGGCAGCGAATGGTAAGTTACCATCCTGCAGATGCGGCTTAGAGAGGTAAGTGATTCACCAGGATCTCCCCGGTCTGTATGTGGCAGACAGAGCTGGGGTGGCCCTGAGGTGGTGTGGCTTTTGCCACATGTGGCCTAGCTTTCTACCCATCCCTGCCCAGGGCGCAGAGGCCCAGGGGATGCTGGCCGGCTGCCAGTAAGGCCTGATACAAAGCTGATGGAAGCCCTCGCCGGCCGGCACGGGGGCTAACAGGACGCCGGGAGCTTTTTTCCTGTTCACCTGTCTCAGTTTTGGAAAGGCCAAACCTAACTCTATGTCACAGCCTTTATGGTTATTAGTTTTTAAGTAGGTACAGACTCTGAAAGATATCCTGAAGCTTAATAATAAATATGTACATGTTATTAGGATCCAAGAGACATCCCCATTTTGGGAGTTAACCTGGTGAAAGCCCCTTGGATTTATATTCAAATCCTCTCATCAGCTTTCTGCAAACCAAACATTCTGTAAATACAGTTTTGTGTGTGCAGAAACTGAAGAACATACAGCATTCCCTGTCCTAATAGTCTATACAAAGCAACAGGCATGTAACTGGCACATAAATGTTAATGCCCCTTTCCTTCGCCCACCCCGGGAGGGTCCTCCTCCCTCTGCCTGACAATAGCCTGGGTGGTAGGGACGGGGCACCACTTACTTCCTCGTCTTCCTCTGCACCCACGCCAACAGGGTCCGGATGGCCTTCCTCTGGTCTTTCACCGATATCGCCGCGCTCCTCTCTGCTGTGGGCGTGGGTGGGAAGGAAGAGTCTGAGTCCATGCCCCCCGGGCCGGGTGACAAGCTGGAAGATGGAGAGTTTCTGCTGAGGTTGCCCGTGAGCTCCTTAATCTGGAAGGAAAACAGCCTTTCAGACCCCAGAGCCAGATCCAGCACACATGCTATCTGACCCGAGGCCATGTGGACCCTGGCTGAGGTACCAGCTCACACAGAATGATGGCTGTGGGTCAGGGGACAGGGCAGTACCCATGATGGCCTGACCGTTTCAGGTGGCTAGTGATAGGGACAATGACACTTCACAGGGAAAATCATCTCTTCCTGGAGTCTCTCAGGCTCTGGCCCAGAAAGCATTGTACTGCTTTAAGCCCCACTGCCTATGCTCACCCTGGTCCTGCCGCCCAGATATCCTTTCCCTCCATCATTGAATTCCACTCAAAATGTGGCTCCTATCATGGGGTGCTTGTGAGAAATGCAGAACCCCAGGCCCTGCCCCTGATCTATGGAATCAAAATCTGCATTTCAACACCACCCCCAGGCAATTCATATGCAAAGTAAAGTCTGAGAAGCACTGGTGCAGTGCACTCCTACTCAACCTTCAAAACCCAAGTACGGTGTCACTTCCTCCAGGAAGTTTTCCTCACTCCCCTCGCCCCTCTGAGGTAGTTGCCCCTGCTCAGCACTCTTACAACACTCTGCTCGTACCCTGATCATAGCTTGCACCCCAGAGTTCTATAATATGGGACTGACTTGTCTGTGATCGCAGAGAGTCATGAGGGCAGGACCGTGTATGTTCAGAGACATATGCAGAGAGAGACCAAATCGACATAGAGAAACTCAATCGACATTTGCTAAATGAATGAATGAAGATCTGGGGTGGATTTAAGGCCTTGACTTTTTTTTCTTTTTCTTTTTTCTGGCAAGAAAGATTGGCCCTGAGCCAACATCTGTGCCAATCTTCCTCTATTTTGTACGTGGGACACCTGCCACAGCATGGCTTGATGAGCAATGCGTAGGTTTGCGCCTGGGATCCAAACCCATGAACCCCAGGCCACTGAAGTGCCTGTAAGCTTAACCACTACACCACCAGGCTGGTCCCAAGGCCTTGAAGTTTTTACACATTTTCTGGATGTTTCCAGCATCTATCAGAGAATTTAACAAAAACATCGGTAACTGAAGCCTGTATATAACACTGTACAGCTGACAAAGGGCTTTCCCACACAGCATCTCTTGGTGCTCACCACATATTATGACCACTGCTCCCATTTCACAGATGTGGAAACTGAGGCTCAGACAGAGAGCCTTTGGTTTTTTAAGTCAAGGCTCACATAGAACTCGATCTATTGTCTCCAACCTTCTTTGTGCTTTTTTGTCTCTGAAATGCAAGCATTGAGCCCAAAGCCCCAGCAAATCACCTCCAGGCAGATCATTTCTACTCTCGGAAGGGCAATTAAATAATGAGCCACGATTTTCTATTTCAAAAGAGGGAATTTGAGAAGATGAAATGCCAGCTGACTCCCTCATATTCAGGGAAGAGAACTTGAGCACAATTTTAAACGCCACCTTCACACTCCAGCCACAGACCCTGTCTTTCCTCTGTAAAATCTGGTTTCCAAATCGAGGCAGAAGGTACTGAGGAGGGAAAGATAAGTCCAAGGTCACAAACGCCTCTTCCACTGTACGAGCTATCTTTCGTACAGGCTCTTCAATCGTCTCTGCTGAACACCTGAGTTACTTTAGGAAAGGAACTCGACCAAGTTCAATCTTTGGCGGGAAGTAGTTCCCCAGTTCTTGGGACACTTAGAACAAAATTATTTTTTGAAGTAAATATTTAACTCTTCAAGTCCCAAGAGGATGGATACACTCTTCTGGAGAACAGAGCTCACGCCACTTTTAAAATCACAGGGACCCAAAACCTTCAGCAACCAGATGCCTCCGGTTCTTTTGCAAGAAACAGAAAAGTCAAAATTTGTCAGAAACTAAATCTCACTGTCTCCCTCGATCCGGCCCCACTCTCCCGTTGCTGCTGAGTAGACTCAAGGAGATTGCTACCGCGTGTTATGGAAAGGAAATTATTTTACCTGGAAGAAGAGGATTATGTTCCATATCAGCCCGAGAACCAAAGAGGGGTTGCCATCTGCTATTTCTGCTGCGTCGATGCTAACCAGTTTTACCTGGAGGGAAGCAATTCATGAGCTTATCGTGGGTGTCCAAGGAGGCTGAAACACGTTATTTTCTGAGGCTCTCATGGGCTTCTCTTTCTGCCCAAGGCCACGTCTCAGGGACCCCAACATGCAAAAGTGTAACCATGTTTGATAAACACGTACATCGCACTCACCACGCGCAGACACTATTCTAAGCTCCTTACAAGGATTAACTCAGTTTGTCCTCCCAATAACCCCACAGTGTAGGTACTTCTCTTATCTCTATATTTCAGGTGAGGAAACTCCAGAGAAGCAACACGCCCAGGGTCACACAGCTAGTAAGTGTTGTCATTCTCTCCCAAGGAGAGATGGTAAGTGCCCCCAGGGTCTGTCTGCATGTTACACTAACACTAGCAAACCTCCAGATTTAACACGTCTTTGGACAAACACTGAGCACCGACATCAGCCATCATGCCCCACGATGGGTGAGATAATTATCCATTGCTAATTAGAAATAGCGTGTCGGGATGAGGCTGATACCCAGAGCTTCTGCATCATTACCAAATATCCTACTGATTGGTTAAAATGTGCTTATTTGAGAAACCCTTAGGAGATGACCTATTTATTTAACTAAGTTCTGACCACTGGATGATGCTCTTGGTGAATCCCTGAGGCACTGGTTCTCAAAGTGTGGCCTCTGGACCAGCAGCATCTGTACTGATTGCCTGGCAACTTCTTAGAAATGCAAATTCTCCTCCAGACCTACTCAGTCAGAAACTCTGGGAGTGGGGCCTGGCAATCTGCATTTTAACCAGCCCTCCAGGTGATTCTGATGCAGGCTCAGGTCTGAGGACCACTGCGAGGTCATCATTTTATTCTACAAACAAAATCTGAGCCCATAGATCACGGGTCTGCAAACTTCTGTAAAGGGAGAGAATAAATAGTTAAGACTCTGCAGGCCACATCTGTCTCTACCACATTTTCTTCTTCATTCTTTATAATGCTTTATGAATGTAAAATCCGTTCTTTAGGAGGAAGAGAGGAGAAAAAAATTAAGTCAAGGTAGTCTTTCAAATCCGCCCTGCAAAATTCTGCCCCGGGGACTGGGAAAGAAAACATGAGGAGACCATCTTACACAAACTCTCCTCTCTTCCTTTCCCTCAGGGCTTTTGAAGGTCTCTGATCCTATCAGTTCATCAGGGGTTTCTGACAACACCAATCATAGGGCCTGGGCTTTCCTAATTAACGGAGAGACTCCTGAGTTCCCTGGCTCAGGTCTGTTCCGCAGGCTGATGCCAAAACTATAATTCAGACAGCACGAGCTCGTCATCACTGGCAGGCTGGAGCCCGGAAGGAAGTTGTCAGTATTGTGAACAGCACAGCCGATCAAACTCAGGTCCAATATTCCGTCCACATTCGTCACGGGCACACGTCCCACCTGATGAATCACCTGCGATACGCGGCCAGCTCGTCTCCTGAACCTCTGCTCTGACAGCCCCCTCTGTTTTTGTGGCTTATGAACACAATCCAATGCAGGGGGATCAAAGCGGTTAGCTAAGTTGATCATCCTGGCCTTCACTCCCACCTGGAGGAAGCCCAGCGTGTCCCTCTGAGCTGAGGTTCGTGGAAAACGTTCCAAAGTGAGAAAATGACAGAGAGCCTTGGAGGGATGCAATGAACAGGATGGAGGGGAGAGGGAGGGCCGGGCGGGGAGCAGCAGCTCTTGCGAAGGCCATTTGGAAAATAAAAGCACGAGGGAAGGTGGTGACTGCAGAAGGTCCAGGGCCTCAAGGAGCAGACATTCCAGAAGACCTCGCCTTAGGTGCCCGCTGCTGTTCGGTTCTCCGTGGTGAACAATGTAACAGCCAGAAGTCAGTCAGAAGCTTCAGGGACAATGTCCTCCTCCTCTTCCCCCAGCTCAGCTGTTTTTGTCATATTGACAACAGGTGGACCAACTGGCTTATGGGAATACTCCTTCTCCCCCTCTGGCTGGCACATCGGCCATGGGGCAGCAATAACGGTCATCACGTAATGCCTTCCCCTCTGGAGCCCTGACCTCCTGCTGAGTGGTTTTCATGGCTTAGCTCATTTAATGCTCATAATATACCCATTTCATAGAGGAGGAAGCTGAGGCTCGGAGAGGCTGAATGATTTGCTGGAGGTCACAGAGCTGGTCCCGTGGGGCAACTGGTCTCCGACAGAGTGAACGCTGTGCTCTGTGATGCACAATTGTGGGAGAGGGAGGAACAAGGGCTGGCCACATCTAACAGCGTCTGAATCCTGGGGCAAAAAGGGCCTGACCGCTGCCCCTCCCGGCACTTATTTAGCAGTGACCACCCAGGTCTGGTCACTTCTTTGGCTCAGCAGAGCCACTGTGGCCTGTCCTCTCTCGAGCTGGGACAGTGGGACAGGAAGGGGCCAGTAAGGGCCCAGGAGTGGCTTGTGGATTCTGGGAACGGGGCAGAGGCTGCATCTGAAATGCCTGTTTCCCCGTCTCACCCATCTGTGCTCACCTCCCCACCCCCCCGGGGCATTCACCTATCTTACCTGCCTGCAAATGAAGCCAAATGGGGCACAAAGCTGCATAACACACCCACATTTGGAATATTTCCAGGTTTTTTAATAAAAAATAAAGAGGGGCGCCTTCATGTTCTATGGACTGTACGACAGCCACCGCAGACAGTTTGGGAACATTTAGGGGTGGATTACAGAAGGCCAGGCCTCCAGTGTGTGCTCCCACACTGCCACACCTGTGCTTGGGTGGGGGTCCCACCTGGAATGCCCGCCCCCTTGCCCCCTACCCCCCGCCCCGGCTTCCCAGGAAGCTGTTTGTTGTCGCCTCTGCAGGATCACCACTCCTCTCCAGCATGCTGTCCACGTGGGGTCTCTTCCGCCAGACTCAAAGCTCCTTGAAGGCGCAGACGTGCTTCTACCACAGCTGTGTGTCCCCAGCACCGAACGCAGCCCCAGGTCCCCAGAAGACACTTGGTAAATGTGCCCTGAACCGTTGGAAGCAAACCTACGACCCAGCTGGGAAACTGACACAGGCAGCGGGCGAGTTCTGCCTACAGCACAGACCAGTCGACACGGCGCGGCTGACAGAGTAGGAAATCACTCAGGGGTCGACACTGGAGAGAAGAGCAATGAGCATCCTAGGCAGGTGCTCCAAGGCCCCACGGTACCCCAAAACCACACTCCTTTGGAATGATGGCGGGGACACTGCTTCGAGGAGCCACACCTAACCCTCCCTCCAGGGGCAGGTGATGGAGGAGGATGAAGTTGGAAGAGCCGCAGCCTCGCCCGGGCCCGCACGTGGCTGAACTCTACCCGCACGGGCACACTCAGCCCTCAACGAGGCTCTGGGCAGGTTTGGTTTTTACCACTTATGTTTTACAGATGTGGAAACTGAGGCTCAGAAAGTTGACATCATTTCCCAGGATTGGGAGCCAGGGCAGGACCCGGGCTCTGAACTGCCACGTGAGAGCCGAGGCTGATGGGGAAGCTGACTGCACAGAGGCCAGCCTTTTAACGAAAACGTGATGTGCTTTTTTAAAAAACAGCTTTATTGAGATATAATTCACATTCCAATCAATTCACCCATTTAAAGCCTACAACTCAATGGTTTTTAGGATATTTACAGATATGTGCGTCATCACAGTCAATTTTAGGATGTTTTCATCACCTCAGAGAGAAACTCCGAATCCTTTAGCTAACACTCCTGTAATCCCCCATCCCTCCTCAACCCTTGACAACTACTAATCTATTTTCTGACTCTAGAGATTTCCCTGTCCTGGACATTTCATAGGATAAGAGGTCCTTTGTGTCTGGCATCTTTCATGTTTTCAAGGTTCATCCATGTTGTAGCCTGTATCAGTACTTCATTCTTTTGCATGGCTTAATAATATTCCATTGTATGGATATACCACATTTTGTTTATCCATTCGTCTGCTGGTGAACATTTGGGTTGCTTCCACCTCTTGGCTACTGTGAATGACGCTGCTATGAACTGTGCTATGCTTTTGGTGGCCACCATCTGAACTCCCTCCTACGTCTGGGACTTTCCCCACAGTAAGGGAGGCAGAGCCCACCTCCCTCTTCAAAAGCCAAAAGTGCTTTCCTCTCTCCACTTGGCAGCTGGGATGTGGGCCCCGACCCAGGCTTGGCAGCCCAGGCCTTTGAATCTGAATGTGTGACATGGAGTTCACTCCAGGGGCTGTGGTGGGGGCAGTGATGTCCTTCTCCCAGGGGCAGCGGATGGAGGGGGGCTCTGCAGTCCTGGCACCCAGCACCCCCAGGTTCCATCCCAGACTCCCCAGTCTTTCAAGTTATTCTGTGTGCTACTCGGCATCCTTTTATCGAATTTCTTTCTGCTTAAATCAGCCAAGCTCAGCTTCTGTCGCTTACCACCAAGAACCCCAAGTGAATCAGACTCTACAATGAAGTTTTACTGAAGAGGCCAACGCATCGGGCAGGCTGAGGGGATTTTACCCAGACTAATTGGTGAAACTTAATGAAAGGGGAGCTCTGGAAATTTCACCCCTCTAGGGCCATCCTTTCTCATTTTTGAAGGACATGAAGCAGAATTCAAAACACAGGAAAAGCTAATTTAAATCCAGAAAGCTCTATCAAAGAGGGGAGAACTTGGTAATTTTTCCCTGGCTCATTTATCCCTTTTCTCCTTTGCTTTTCCCATATTCTGAGCTCTAAGAGAAAGTTTTACCCTCTGACGTGCTCACCATACCCTTATTCAAAGGAAAGAAAAAGAAAATGTCAACTAAGATCTAAAGATTTGAGAGCCAGTCAGCTGTGAGTCCTTCCCACCACGGGATGTCCATCGGAGTCTTCATCCTGATGCACACAGAGGGGTGGGTAGGGGGCCAGGGACTATCTTTCCAATCGCTGGATTAGCTCAGTTCCGTTACAGTTCAATTTAGTTTAATCTGACCATTTTAGCAGGGTCTCTTTTACACGCTTCTCCTGTGACCAGTACTTAACTTCAAATTATGTCCTTTTCGTCACAGGAAAGGCCTGTGTATACGAAATGTGTTTCAAATACTTACATTGCTATCTTCCAAAAACTTAAGTGCCTTCGCTATGTTGTTCAACCGAAAAATACGATGGGACGATGATTTGTATTCATGCAGCTGTAACACAAAACAGAGCAAAACAAGAGGTTAAACCAACAGAGGCGCTCAATGCCCAGTGGCGCCAATGGGTGTGTTTTTCTTATTCTTTACCTTTTTCACATGAATCTCAAGAGAAAGTTAGCGGTTCAGAGCTGAAGCCCACCCCTTATTTATGGTTCCCGGGACTTAACTCACTGGAGTTGGTGAATGGGGGGAACCCAGGCGGGTTAAACGAGGGACAGATTTGTCAGATTTTTCTCTCTGAACAGCTCCTGGCTTTTGGTAACCCTCCCTCCTCCAGAGACCTTCAGGGACATGTTCTCCCCTCTGCGCTGATGGTTTCTGTCCAGACAGGGAGCATCCACTGGGAGCATCACCACACAGCCCCTAAATCATCAGGCAAGTCCCTCCCTGGGCAGCAGATGTTTCTGTTTTCTGGCCAAGAGCTTTGTGGACAGTTGTCCCAGATCTGGGGGTGGGGGGAGAAGGAGAGAGAGGGAAAGAGAGGGGGAGAGAGAAAGAGAGAGACAGAGAGAGA